CACACACACAAACACACACACCTATACAGGTGCACACAAACACACAATGTGACACACAATGTCCCTCTGACCATTTGTCTACTGCTACTGTTCTGAGACATTAACCATTAGTGTACAATTCACAACTGAAGTAACAAAATTCAATTCAATTGTATTTGTATAGTGCCAAATCTCAAGACACTTTTCAATAGAGCAGGTCTAGACTGTACTCCTTATAAAATTATTTATACTACTCGCAATGAACAGACAGTGACAAGGAAAAACTTTCTCTTAAGAGCCAAAACCTCGAGCAGACCCCGGCTTTAGGTGGGCAGCCATCTGCTTCGAAGAGAGAGAGAGAGAGAGATGCACAGCAACAATAATAGTAACAACTATAATAGTAGAACTATGATTAATAATAAAAAAGCAGAAAAACTTCAGGGAAGTTTTGGAGACAATAGGAACCCTGCACTCTGGGAGCACAGTGTTCTAGTTGGGTAATAGGGTATTATGGGATATTTACAGGGAGCCAGTGCATAGAAGCTGTTGCAGGTGAAATGTGATATCTCTTCTGTCAGTACACATGGTGCAGCATTCTGGATCAATGGGAACATCTTTAATAGCAGATCACTATGGGTCTATGGGTTTTCCTCTGTGGAGATCCTCAAAAATGGCATCTTTGCAGGTACTGTTTTGTAGTCTAAAAGGCAAGTAGTGACTACGAGTAAATCAAACATATCAACAGAACTATAACAGTACCTATACCTTACGTGGTCGTATTTTATTGTAGTATTTTAAATATCAAAGATTATACTGAAAGTGAATCTTGCTTTCTTACAGAATCTTACTGATCCTACCCTTAAGCTGTGTATGTGTGAAAGTCTGGCAGCCTGCGTTAACACCAAATTTGATGTTATTGTTTGTGGCAGTGAAACACAAACACACTCTCATACACACACTGACTCACTTCACATGGTCTGGGTGTCAGGTCCTCCTCTAGTCCATAAGGACCCCTGGGCTACCTACACTGCATGCCTGTGCTGGACTGAAGTCTGTCGTTGACTCTGACAACCTCAGGGTGCTGCCTCACGTGTATCCCTCTCTCACTTTCTTTCATTATCTATCTACTTTCTCTTATTCTGTGAAAGCGTCTTTGAGACAAAGATTTCACCAACATTTGTCCCTTGTAAAAAATAATTTTAACTTAACCGAAATCATTGACATTGCAACCATGCAATTGTGTGGTTGTGGTTTTGTTGGCTGTGTGAAGTACCATTCCGTGTTCCATTGCTTCTTTTTTTTTGGTTTCAAACTGTAGAAGCATTGGTTCAAACCCCTTAAAAAGACCCATATGTCTGTGTTCCTGAGAAGCAACCTCTTGCAACCATGCTAATGATGGAAATGACTCAGAAAAACTCTGCAAAAGTGCCCTCTTGAATGCCCCTTTTGTAGATAAAAAATGATGAAGTGCCCTCTAGGGTGTCCTTCCAGTGGATAAACTGTGGTTAAGTTCCCT